TTCCACCAGTGGACCCGGAAAGCAGGCCACACCTACAGAAGAGGTTCCAAAATTTTTTGAAACCCACCACTGGCTTGGGGGTAATGGTCATGTGACTGAGTGTGCATGAGTGATGCCAACTTGGCATCTGCCCAGTCACATGACTGCCAAGCCATGCCCACAAAATAGGACACACCCACAGAATAGGTTCTAAAAAAATTGAAACTCACCACTGGTGTGCAGAGCAAACAGATTGGAAGGTTGTTCCAAACTGAAATTGAAACTTTCTGTTTTGCTGTCCAGGATACCTCAAATGGAGAGATCAGACCTGCAATGCCTTGCATCCTTTCATCTGCCAGTGCAAATACTAGTGCAAATCGCTCCTTTTCTTGCTCCAGAGTGAACGAAGCACCTGATGAACTCTGGAGAAGCAATGCAGCTCTGCCAAAAATCTCCGCTCTACACCTCTTCGCTTCCTTTTGCTCTCTGGAGCTTCTGATTTTACTCCTTCTGATGGGGCAGAAGGTCAAATAAATTCTGCTTTAGCATGACTGGCCTTGTTTATTTTGGAGACCCAGGAGATGATGGAGGTCCCAAACTCAACACCCCTGGAGTCTTCTGCATGGCAAACCTTGGTATTAAAGGTGTTTCTTTAGAAGGCCAATTCCATTGAGGCTAGGATGTTTTCTGGCATGTCCACCTCATTTTAATTGGAGGTCTGGGTACCTGATGGGCCTCAGCACCACTTTCCTGTCATGTGTGAGTGTGGAGGAAATCTCAGAGTTTCCCACTCTGTGAGCAAATCTAGACTGCAGACAATAGAATCACAAAACAACAACGCCTGGTAGCCAAACCAAAAGCTGCCAACAACAACACATAAACAGTTGAGCTGTGCTCTTTCAAAATTGCACAGTAAGCTTACTGGCAGAAATATGTACATTTGGGTTGACGAAAACATCTGTTGTGCCTGAAAAGTTTTTAGCGAAAAGGAGTGTGACGTTCTCCCTCCTCCTCATCCAACCGACTACGCTACAGAGATTTTGCCAGAGGCTAAGCTTCCAAAATCGAAGATGTACTCTATGAGTCCTCAGGAGTTAGGTGAAATGCAACAATACATAAAAAAAAGAACCTGGCAAGAGGATTTATAGAGCTGCCCCTGTGCTGTTCAGGGAGAAAAAAGGATGGAGGGCTGCGTCTATGTGTAGACTTTCGAGGCATCAATGGAGTGTGCCTGGAGCACATGCATCCTTTGCCACTCATGAAAGATATGTTGGCCTGTTTAGCGGAGGGTTTTATCTTTACCAAATTGGACTTCAGAGAGGCCTATTATCGAGTCAGAATTTGAGAGGGGGACACAGCTTTTTTTTTTTAAAATTATTTTTATTTTTTATTACACAGACAACAATGGGAAAGGGAGAGGATGGGGAAAAAAAAGAAAAGAAAAAAGGGGGGGGGAAGGGAAAACCCATCTTCACATATAATATGTCGTTTAATCACAGGTGCATCCCTACTAAGTTTATACATCCC